GCTCTAATCTGATCACTTTCCATAAGCCCATATAGATCAGGCCCAAGCTGACTGTCAATAGCTCCAGTGTCAAACAGGGCTTGATTGTGATGCCATGTCAAGTTGGTGCACCTAAGGCAAAGGAATATAATGACCATGTTATGATTGGCCAGATTAGGTCATGTGTTGAATAGATAGACAGTGAGAATAAACAGTGAGAGGTTGTGGATTCTTTGTATCCGATGAATAATAAGAAAGAGTCTTTTGGACTTTTAAGGAATCCGGATTTACCTCAATACACCTCCCCAGTACCCCATGCTTGTCTCCTGACTGGAGTGTGGTGGAGATAGGTCCCCAGTACCCCATGCTTGTCTCCTGACTGGAGTGTGGTGGAGATAGGTCCCCAGTACCCCATTGGAAACCATTAATCTTACAAAAATGCCCAAAGTCTTATCATGGTGAACCCAGCAGAAAGATCTTTTGCCACTGAAAAAAATCCATCATTGTATCTTTGCTGACTTGGCACTTAATTTGTCATCAAGGATAGACATGTAGGACTAAAGGAATCTTGATAGGTTGTGCTTGTGTAGGTTTGTACCCTAATGACATAAATATCAGATGGTTCTTTAAGCCCTGGTGAGCTTACATTTTGTAACTAGTTTTATTTGTGTATTGTGGATATTGAAAATTTCCTCCTTTGTAAAACAAACCAAGGTCATGCTGAAACAAAGCGATAAGAGCTAAAAACTGTTATTCATGGCTGATTTTTCTGATATTTAGAAGGAACCTGATATGGGTGTTGGGAGAGTAAGTTACGTGATTTATGTGATGTGAAAACTTGTGTAACACATAGTGTATGGACGGGTTGCGCAAGACATGCCGTTTTCAGTCCTGCTGGGATATGAAGTCATCAGTTGGGATGATTCAGATTCGACCTGGATGACGCATACTGTATTCAACGTAATAAGCAGCCAGGGCACTCTCAAAATTAGAAATAGGGGGCTTTTATTAGAATATTATTTTGGTGAAAAAAAGGTTGAAAGATAAAATCTGTGGTTTATGCTGACAGCTTGAATTGTTTATATACAAGAGAGATATTTTTCCAGAATTAAATTGTGCATAATTAAAGGTGCATATTATATGCGAATAAATGAGTCTTGTGTACATTGATAAATCGGAAGGGGTGCTAATTGGGATTGTTCACTAGCCAGTATATTAGCAAATATCGCCATAGGCGCTTATTAGAGCGGGGCGCTTATTACGTCGAATACGGTAACTTAACTCCATAAACATTATACTGCAAACATTGGACACTGAAATTCAGTAAAAGTGACAAGGGCTGTGAAACTAATTTACTGCATCATGCATTGTAGATTTGATTCTTTCCAAGGAGGTTTAAGATATCCAATGTTTTTCTGGTGTTGTTGACGGCTGAAGTCTTATCTGATTTTGGAAAATTGTTATTCTGAAAAAATGTTAAAAATATGCAGTACGTCAGGGTGTATGCGTGACTTAAGAGAAATATTTTGTTTTAAATGTTCGCTAGATCTGTAGATAGAAGCCTTGTTGCTTGATGCTGGTAATGAAATGAGATTACCCTGCCAATTGGTTGTGACATTTCTTTGAAGTAGTTGTCCCAGATAATGGGGAAATAGGATCTGTAGGATTGGTTTGGTTTTAAGAAGTGATGAATTGTCAGCGGTTGCATGATGTTGCTAACAGAGTGCCTGTGTCTATGAAGTTTCCAATATTTCCTATATGTTACTGATATGTACTTCCCTTGAGTATTGGAAAGTTCTCCTATTCAGCTGAGTATTCAGAGCTCCAGAGAAGCTTTTGGTGTTGTGGGTATTTTACCCATGCATTTTAAAATCATTGGGTATCAGTTATTCTATCTGGGTATTCAAATTTCTGTTACCCACTAGTTTTTACACATGTGGGTATTTAAGTTAAATATTTCAAAACATTATTCATCTAGTCCCTGCAAACTGGTGTCGTGTGGGTTCGAGATCTTTATAAGACGATACTTCCACAAGAAAGTGTGATGGCTAATGATCATGATGTAACTGTCATCGTGGAGTTTGGCAAGCTTGACGGAATGTCCGTTTATAATTTCAAAATAAGTTGGTGATTTGCTAATCGAATACGCAGGGTTACTTCACAATATTTTGATGATACGCACAAGTTTTATTTTTGTAGCGTATCTGTAATGTTCGTTGCGTATTTGATACGCTTGGATTTTATTTTACTGCGTATTTCTGCATTTCTGATGCGTATTTTACGCAGATACGCAGCTTATCTGGAGCTCTGGTATTGGATATTTTAAAGCTCTCATATTCAACAGAGTTCATTCAGTGTAAATATCATGAATGTCTTGGCAATTCCTGTTGTAAATTCCTATCAGTTTTGCACATTTGTTTACTGATCATACAATTCTTGTGTGAATATGCTTCCTGATGTTAGAGGGTGCTGGGGTAGTAGAGTGGTCGAAGCACTTGCTCATCATACCTGTGACCATGGTTGGAGTCCCTGCATAGGTACAGCGCGTTCCCCTCTATTTTATGATAAAAAAATGCTAAAATGGTAAAGATTGAATGGAAAGTTTTACTTGTGTTTACATGGAAATTAAACTGAAAATATGCTGCAATAAGTCTGCAAATATGCTGCAATAAGTCTGCAAATATGCTGCAATAAGTCTGCAAATATGTTACAATAAGTCTGCAAATATATTGCAATAAGTCTGCAAATATGCTGCATTAAGTCTGCAAATATCCTGCAATAAGTCTGCAAATATCCTGCAATAAATCTGCAAATATGCTGAAAGTATGTCAATTCCACGGCAACATACTATTCGAATGACAAGATCTCCAAGCAGTCAATTATATTCAGACCTCACCTGGACACTACCCCTATCAAAAGTTGAGAAGTATGTATTGAGATGTCCCCTCAGTTTTATCATGATGCTGTACATCACATTCAAAGCCTCATCACTTTCTATTCAGTATGTTAACATTGGTGTTACCAAAGACTTTCCTCCAGCTAGAAACTGACATGTTGTGCTATAACCGAAATACAGTTCCAAGTGGCATTAAACATAATAAACTCAATCACAATGAACTAGAAATATTCCAATGAAAGTGACAAAATCATATAAGCTAGGCATAATTCTCCCCAATTGTATAGCTTTAAAGTAACAAAGTAAATTTAACTTTTCCAAAAGTACTTTTCACAGGGAAAAATTCCTATTTGGACAAGTATGACTGCAAGTAAATATTGAAGTAGATTGCGGATGGGAAAAGAGGATGTTTGTAGTTAAAATGAGATTATTGTGACTATAGGTTTGAAGTGGGTCAATCGTCTTTTCATTCAGTGTAGGCTATATGGACTGAATAAGTGTTTGACAGTATCAGGTTAGACATGGTGCTAAATCCATACAGTCTATTGAAATTGGGTTTCCAAATATAGCAAGTTAAATACATGTTCACAAGAGTATTCAATTCAAGCTTTTTAAACCTTACTTAAAAGAGAGAAAAAAACAGTTCAAACCTCCTCCATTAAAAACAAGTCTTAAAAATGTTCGAAAAAGCATTGAACGCATGTGATTGCAAAACCTGTTGGTCTTTAATATATGATTGTAATTCAAGAACATGTTTTGGGGGTTTTGAAGATGTTTTTCTTGTTATACACACACAGTCACTACGTAGGTGAACTTTTGTCAGTGTTGTTTACATTATGAATATATGTATGTACTATTAGGTGAAATAACATCGTTGAAAAGTCTCCTTAAAATAGAAAAAAATCTGAATTCTGTTGATGTGATAACTATATCAAGTCATCCGTGAGAAATGTAACAATAAGGCAGTTGTCATAGCAGTACAGTTATTCTGCACCAGTCTTACAGTTTAGCAAACAGTTTATTATTATTTTCAGATTTATGTTTTAAATAAAATTTTCACCCTCGTTGACCTTCACCTTTCCAACAAATGAAAGTAACTATTAGAGCCAGGACGAGTCCAAGTTTACTACCCAGGTACCCAGGTACCCGGTCCCCTATTACCCGACCCATCCCACGTACCCGGTACCCGCTGTAGATCTCAGGAGATGGGTACAAAATGTCCCATTGGGAATTGTTTGACCAGACTGAGGCAAAAAGTATTTAGGTACACCTTTAAAATGATCTGGTCATGCATACACTGAAGTTGACTAAAATTTATCTTCATTTTAACATAAAAAAGGCAGAATCCGTTAATAGTCAGAAAGAAATGCAAACATTTATGACATGTAGTGTAACCATGGAGTTCTAGATATTTTTGTCATTAAACAATATATCTGGGTACGGGTAGTCCTTTCCTTCTCTGTATCTACCTGAGATACCTAGCCCTGGTAACTAAGGGACATTGCCATAAGGGATATTATGCTGTGTGTGTTGAGAAAGACAATAAAAGTGAGCCATCAGCCACTGATTTAGTGAGTTAGAAATTATCTGGAGTTAAGTATCTCCCCTTGTTGACCTTCACATTATCTTCCCATGTTGACCTTCACATTATCTTCCCATGTTGACCTTCACCTTAACCTTTTGCTAAAAGGAGATTACCTGGAAATAAGGCCATGTGAGATAATTGATTGTTAACCAACTTTTGATATTTATTTTGTTCTTGTATTAATCATCAATCAATACCAAGTAAACATTCTGGGCATGACCACTTTGCTTGCCCTCAGAGCCGACTAAACAAAATAGTACTTATTGCATTTCATAGAATCCAAACACTGTTGCTACTGTTTTCAGTCACCAGTCTTATTTCTTTACTAACCACTGTGATATAGCTGGAATATTGGTGACTTTGTCATAAAACAACATGCATTCACTCACTCATTCAGTCAATGATCATGTGTTGATCTGACATTTTCGAGCCTTGGTTAGACAGTAGAAGAAAACTTTACCCTTTTTTAATAAAAAGATGTGGAGTGTAATCTCAAACTGAAGTGCGTATTTGATGATACTTGAATTTTGTGTTTTCCAGATTCGCCTGAAATGGATGATAAAAATCCATCAGCTGAAATCGAAAAATACCTAGCCCAGGGATTAAGAGTTAGCAATCGAGAAGCTCGGAGAGTAGCGTATTCCAATCTCCAGGTAATGACATTCTTTTTCTTTTCACTTACAATACTTTTTTTCTATCTATTTTAATTTGAAATTCTCATGGTCATACAGATTGAAGTGCATTCCTTGTATACAAATATAATCTGGATTCCTGTTCTTCATTTACAGAAAAGAAGTGAGCTTAAGGTCAAGTGTGAATATAATGGGGAGAAAAGGTGAGTGACAATACATGCTGTTTGTGTTGACTGTAGTAAGTGCCCTGTTGTTTAAGTGCCCCCCGACCAACTTCTAGGTCACTTTGTAAGTATAATCTTTGTAAGTGCTCCCTAGTATGATCACACATTTACATGACATCCATGTCCACGACTATGCTTGACGTAAAAGGCGACAATTTGAGGTGAGGTGAAATTGGGTTTAACGTCACGTCTAGGATTATTGCACTTATATAGCGACGTGCATGCATGTGTATGTGTGTGTGGCTGCTTGTACTAGTCCGGACTGATGCCGATTTATAGTGCTAGCTCACTGAGATACCATGCCGCAGTTTAACATGAATACCCCACTCAGACACAGTATACTGACTCCGAGCTGACCACTCCTTGTTTTAGCCCCCTTTAACGCCAGACAGGGTAACAACAAGTACCATCTTTTAACCTTTTTTGGTATGATGTGGCCGGGGAATCGAACCCCGAACCTTCCACTCTCCGGGCGGACGCTCTACCACTAGACCACAGAGGCGGTCAAAAGGCGACTATGCTTGTCGTAAGAGGCGACTAACAGGATCTGGTAGTCAGGCTCGCTGACTTGGTTGATGCATGTCATCGATCCCAATTGCGTGGATCGATGCTCATGATGTCAATCACTGGATTGTCTAGTCCAGAGTCGATTATTTACAGACCGCTGTCATATAGCTGGAATATTGCTGAGTGTGGCGTTAAACAACAAACCAACCAACCATATTTTCGTTGATAAGATTGCAGATTTCTCACAGCATTGACAAACTTTTATCAAAAAGGTTTTAGTTTTATTGACCTTTAAACTGAGTTTGTTCACTACTGCTCGTTCATTGACAACAAATGTAGTTTTAATAAGTGCTGACCGCCTCAGTGGTCTAGTGGTAGAGCGTCTGCCCAGAGAGCGGAAGGTCCAGGGATCGGTCCCCCGCCGCCGCGTCAAACCAAAAGACTTTGAAAGATGGTACTTGTTGTTACCCTGCCTTGCACATGATATTAAGGGGCTAAAACAAGGACTGGTCGGCTCGGAGTCAGTATACTGTGTCTGAGTGGGGTATTCATGTTAAACTGCGGCATGGTATCTCAGTGAGCTAGCACTATAAATTGGCATCAGTCCGGACTAGTACAACCAGCCACACACACACATATGCATGCATGTCACAATATAACTGCAATAATTTTGGATGCAACGTTAAACCCCATTTCACCACCTTTAATAAGTGCCCAGGGTGCTTATTGCAATGAATACCTTCGGTACATTTATGGCAGAAAGAAATTAACAACCATCCTCGATAACCCAGGGTAATATAGCTACCTCATATTTGATAATTAGTACCCGTGGGAATTCCAGGTTAAAATTAGTTCCAATTTTAGAGTCATGTAAATTGAATCTGGTTCAAGTCTAAGCTTTTGTAGATATGCATCGAATGTATTTATCATAAAAATATGAAGATATGATATCCTGGATGATGAACGATATGTAACAGCATGTCCTTCACTATTGTTCTCTTGGTAATCCTACATGGACCTATTTCCTTTGAATTTTGAAAAATTGCAAGTTCATACATGTATGTTCAACTGTGGGAAAAAGCAAAAATTCAAACAACTCTCAACAAACGAAATGTTTGTATAACAAAATTGACACCAGTTTCAAAGTCATATTTAAACGATTCAGGGAGGTGGAATGCTTTTGATGTAAACATCTGATGTGACAGAAGTTCACTTTGCACCTTATTCCTGCTTTTGAATTAATAGTCGTGCCCTTTTCAATAAAGCAGGTCTTTTCAAGGCTTGATGAAAAATATGTATTTTTAGCCACACAGACTTTGTAGAAGTGGAAAATAAACTGTTTTATCCTATAATGGGTAGGTTTCTCGGCAGGATAAAGCCAACGGATAAAAACGATATCCGTTGGGGTCATATGCTGTGTGTGCATCTGACTACACTTCTAAACGTTATGACAGGACAGAAGGACTGTCAACAACATCTGACCGTGGTCGTGACGTCTCATAGACTAGGGTTAAAGTAGCTTCCCTTTGACAAAGGGCAGTTACTCTAGCGGACAGACCGAGAGAGGCAATTAAAAACAACTGTTGTTTTGCGTATATGTTGCTTCGCCACTGTATAAGAAACAGATTTCAGTTGGAACTATATTGGCTACTGTCACTGTCCGACTGACACATCACTTACCCTGTGTTGTAATAAATATTAATGCGCGCATTCCAGGAAAACTCGCAATGTTTCGGTAATATTTGTGAGAGAGGGAAAGCGATTTTAAAGCACAGAATTAAAGAATGACATTATATGATAAAGAGGTTATCATGCTTGTGTGTTTGGGGATGGTAAATATCCTGTATTAGGAATAAACACTATGTATTTAGCTCGCCAAGGCTCGCTAAATACAATGTTTATTCCTAATGCAGGATATTTACCATCACCAAATACACTCGCGTGATAACCTCTATTTATTGTGATGCCAGTGGGCTGATTTATGAGATGAACACATCGAAACTGGTTTGAAGAATATACATCCTCTGAAACATTAAATTTAAGTTTTGGAAGCTTTGTGCTATATTCAAGACCCCCATTTGTAGAAGAGATAGATTTCTCATAAGACACCCACTTGCAAGACAGCAGGGGAAAAAAGTGATGGTGTGCGTTTGGAAGTCTTGTGTGGTCTAGCTATACCAAACAGCTAGGAAAATACACTGTTTGCACTTCTTAATGCATGTATATTCTAAAGGTTTTGTCAAGAAACCTCTAATATTCCTTTGTTTTGTTAAGCACCTAATGGATTAATGGACAGAAACGTAATGTAAAATAGGATTAATTTGCTTTTAATTTGAAGTGAAACATTGCATTATTGTAGCTGGTTTGTACCACAATAATGCACTGATTTCAGTTATAAAAAATCCCAACTTGATAAACATGCCAGTGTTATCGCCGTGGCACGGCCATGACTGGTTTTACAGGTTTTGTTTCCTGAATTGTTTACCGGGAAGATGATTTGAACACCACAGTGGATTCTTGGAAATCCATTAATAAAATTGTCAAGTGTTGTTGTCATAGAGGACAGGATAAGACTTGCTTACCGTATATAACCTTGTAAATATTAGCATTCTATTCAGTAGCTGTTTTGAATGATTCATTTTACTTCTAAGCTGGTCATTTATCAAATTTTGGGTAATTTTTCATTTTCATTATACACAGAAATGAATGGTTTGATACCACTAAAGAAGTTTTTGAATAGCAAACTAAATTATTAATTCTTCAGACCTACTCAACGGCATATTTTGATTTATGACTTATGAATAATGTGTAATTGATAAAATATTTAAAGTAAGCCCATTATCATTCTGTTAGATATGTGACCTCTAAGTCATCTGGAGCAATCTGTTTGAGGTTTGTCAATATGAATACAATCCTTTCACCATTCCCCAGATATGATCTGTTCAATATAAAACATCAACACTAGGGAATAACTTACTACGAAACAGATTCCTTCGGGTTTTAAAGGCACAATGAAAATTATATGGATGGATCACAGACAATCAGTAAAAAGCATCCTTTCAGCAATTGATATTTTATAAGGTATGGATGTATAAGTGTGTATAAATGCCAAGTGCTGACAAAAATTCCCTCTTCCTCTAGATGGGTCAGAAAAAATCTTTTGTTTCTCATGCTAGTTACGGTGATTGAGATCAGCTTTTCAGGCTCTGTGATGTGTTTGATTGCTGGCAATCCGATCTTAGTGTCGATCATTATCGTTTGTTTTGTTTGTTTGTATAATGTCGCACTCGCACTCGCACTAAAATATCGAGTCTGGACCAGACAATCCAGTGATTGACATCATGAGCATCGAACGATCAATTATTGAATCACATCTGGATCAGCCAAACCAATGATGTCAAGTATGAGTAACAATCCACGATAATGACACTAAGTACCTGGGAAGATCCGGGGTAGATTAAGTCTTCGGCAACCCATGCTTGCTGTAAAAGGTGACTATGCTTGTCGTAAGATGCCACTAACGGGATCGGGTGGTCAGGCTCACTGACTTGGTTGATGCATGTCATCGATCCCAATTGCATGGGATGCACGTGATGTCAATCTCTGGACTGTCTGGTCCAGATTCAATTATTTACAGACCGCTGTCATATAGCTGGAATATTGGTGAGTACGGCATTAACAACAAACAAACAATAATGACACTAAGATCAGATCGGATTGACCAGTCAGCTTGACAAGTATGAGAAACAAACGATGTGATTGCTGGAATGTTATTTATGGCAATGTTACAACTATCACACATCTGGGAGTATGGACCTGCCACTTGACCTAGTGTCGTGAGTGTTACGGTACACCAGTGATTGATGGCCATGTCATTGACGGTTATTAAATAGCTGTCATTATGTTGATGCGCTGTAATCTGTCTGTGATGAGAATAGGAATTCAGTACAAGTACACCACGATGTGACTACAGAGCAAAGGCATCTGCTTTCCTTCTCACAATGATCACAGAACTGTGTACAATGGCCTAAAATGTACCCACATCAGTCCACACTTGAATATTTCCCGGCGTACTAATTATAGCTGTTATGTTAGCATTAATAATTTTATATATGGGCATCGATATCATTTCATCATAATCAAGTTGAAGTTATTATTGAAAAGATGAAGAATGGCAAAAAATTATGATACCTCTGAATAACAATAATAAGTTTTAAAAATAATTTTTTTAGCAAAATAATTATTGTTTTCCCAATTTGCCTATCAAGGGTACTTTGTTTTAAATAAATACTAGATAAGTTCCTGATGTTTGATAGGTGGTAGTTTAGGTGGCCAATATGTTAAGGGGGTGCTTATTTCACCTAAGACACCAGTTCTACTCCAACATGGGTATGTAGTTTGAAACCATATCCTTGGTGTCCTTACCAACATGTTGTTTCAACATATGCTTGTTGTAAAAAGCGACTAACGGG